CCGTGCCAAACTTGCGCCCCTTATTCGAGTGTGGGCCTGATGGCTGAGGTGTAAAATCTTTTCATATCTTTGATGTCCGCGCCGTATTTCTTTAAAACCTTTAATAGAAAAAGTCTTTTTGATGCCTTCCTTGTTATGTAGTCAGTATTTGTGTCCCACTTTAAATTATCATTCACCCATAAACCAAGTAATTTGAAAGTAGAGACCCTCTCCAAAGTTATATTATTAAATGTAAGTGCTGGGATGACCGTCTTATTCTTACGAAAGTCAAACTGCATTTCTTTGCATTTCTTAAGGTTTGATTCCATTTTTTGAGACGAAGCAAAATCCATGATTTTTCTAACATTATCATACGCACTACCAACTTGTGATCCCGAGACATGGTCGCTGACGTTTTCGTTTAAATTAGCCCCACCTTTTCTGTGCGAACTGTTTGATAATTGAAGATATACTCGTTGGCAACTGGGCCTTTATAAAGCTTGAGAAAATTGGCTTGACTGCTGTAAAACTTCACTTAGACCATTAATTTCCCTCCAGGCAAGACCATTATTTTCCACCCTTATCACGATATGAAAACATGCTCCTACTACATGAAACACTAACAACTGGTAGGTTATCTACAGATAAAAATTGGACACCTGGGTCTAGACCTATTAAGCCACTATTTATAGCACTAAGGTACATTTTGTCTCCTTGCAGTAACGCATTATTAAATGTAATTTTTGTCCAATCTACAATTGGGATATTCTGGGCTGTTAAAATTGCCGATAAACTCATGAAAGCACATTGCTTACCTCTAGATTGAACACTGAAATGTTCATCACCTTGATGTAGATTACTAGCAATATGTAATTTAGCCATATTTTTTTGCAATTTATATTAAATCTTTCGACTTTTTATAAGCACATGGAAGGGGAAACGGAACAAAATCTTGCTTGACAGTCACTCCCCTTCATTCCGTAAAAATCCCCCCCCCGAAATGTTGACCGACAGACAGACACAAATCGAGATCTCGGCAACATATAGATCGCGCGTAAGAATGTGCCCGAAGTACCAGTGAACTGGGAACGTCAAGAATAGTGTGCTGCCACGCTGGTGCGTGGTACGCTGTGCACTTTCTTTTTCTTTATCGTGAACTTTATAATGTATTGCGTTGCTTGACTCAAAGGAATCACATGTACGAATCGAGTACTCGATCTTCTATTATGTTAATATTACATGAAGTTATATTAAATTTAAATTATATGGATTAAAATTAAATATGTGTAAAAAGTACGGCTTGTAACTTTCAATCTCCATCCTTCAAATTGACATCACCAGTAATAAACATACACGAGGCATCAAACCAATCATGGTATTCAATCCAAAATTACAAACGTCAGTAAATCATTTCTTGCAATTCTTTGTCCCGGACGAATGCTATTGTTTAGGTTGCGCAGCTGTTTCTGAACGATTTCTTCGTTTTGGTAAAAGTCCATCAGATAGTTAAAGGCTATGTGGACTTCCATTTGCTGTTGCCCAGCACTTCGTAACCGCCTCGCATTCTTCCGAAAGTTTTGCGACTCTTGAATGCTGGTTTTTAACGTGTTCCTACCACTTGCCAAGTTCACATCGTGGTACAAACAAAGAGGAGACTTGTGAGGGTTCACAGAGTTGTAAAATTTGTCGCCAAGGACAAAGTGGTTGTCGGATTTGTTGACTGGATGCTGAAAGCGTTTTAAGACGTTGTAATCCTGATGGTAACTTTCAGCTTGGAACTCTGGGATGATAAATTCTGGAATAGATTGTCCCTTTAAAACAAAGTAAAAGTTTATTTAACGTATGTGGAAACATAGTGCAAAGTAATTATAGTTGATATAGTTAACTTTATAGTTAATTATATTTTAGAACATCCAAAAGAAATACATGAAAAACTATACAATATACTCACAGATGTTCGCTGTTTGTCATAAGTAGGTGTTTCAAAGCAACCTTCTTTGTTTCCCCATAGTTCATCTGCAACATCTAGACAACGGACATGTCTGACAAAGCCACAAGGAGTGTCACAAACAAATACTGTTGGCTTGTACTTCATTGACATGTACAAGTCTGCAGCATCCCGAACGCATTCACTCAGACAGAGGAATTTGGATGCATATAGGTACACTAAAATCAAATGTATACCATACATTATTACATGTACCTGCAAGGAAGCCTTAACAATCACATGTGTTTGCTTAACTTTAATCTTTAACACTTTTAGTGATTGCTTAGAAACAATTACCCCATGTCTGCATACAATATGATAAAATCCTCTTGTGCGGCCTGGAATCTTTGAAAATCCATGGCATGGGCTGTTTCCTATCAAAATACTCAAATACAGCATTTGCAGGTTTCCAATCATTAGTTCCTAAAACACAATTGACGGCAATTTTCATTACCTGGGCAGTATTTCTCGGGCCAACCACTAGTGATTCCAACCATGGAGCAAGCGTCCTGCTGCATTATATGACGTAACATCGTGCGTGGAACATTGTAATCATATTTAGCTTCTACCTGCGCCAGATGGATTGTTGAAACCCTGCCCTGCGGCTCCTCTTCACAATCATCGCCATTGGGCACAGCTGGTCTTTCGTCTGTTGTCGTAACCTCATGATCTTGATCATGCACATTAATAGCAGAAAAGAGGATGTGTTCGTGTAAGCAAATTGCTTTGGTCCGTGCATGTTTTCCCTTAGACGAAATCCCGTTGCACTCCTTGCCGCAACATACAAACGAACTCCTTTTCTCAAAAAAATATATGTAACAGTAGTCAACTGTGTTACTTGCCGTGGGACGACCGTAAACACAATACATGTTGCACGACACTTTCGCCACAATTGGGTAAAAATTTGCAGCCATATCAAGTACAGCTGCAATTTCATCTTTCACTTGCTGGCTACATGGATATTTATCCAGGCTTAAATTAAGGAACGGTTTTGTTTGCACTTCTCGGAAAGCACATCCACATTTCGCCATCTTTGCACACCAAACATCGATCCCCTGGTTACTGGTGCGCACAGAAAGAATATTTTCCGTAATTAACACGGCATCTGGTACGCTTTTTCTTGGTTTTTCAGCCCCTTCAAAGCTTCCACCAAGGTCATATTCAAAATTAGGGCATTTTGGAGGTTTTTGTCTGTTGACATAAGTAAATCTCTTACATGAGGGGCAAGTGCCAGTACCGCGATTTGACCACTTTTTGCCTTCCATGATCAAGGCTGCTACAATATTCCATAAAAAACAGAATAGTATAGTACGTTCATAATGCTGATTTATAATCACCAATGATTAGAAAGGTTATAGATAAACTAAGGATAATTGCAACAATCTAATTATTTTGCTTCGAGCCTTGACTTATCACTGTTATCATCTCATGTCATCATTAGTAAACATATTGACATATTATGAGTACTTTAAGGACTTACCATAAAATATCTTTTAGTGTGACAGTGCCCAAGCCTTTTGATGTAAGTTTTTTGGATGTTTTATTGACCTTTACTGATGTGCCGTTTAGACGCAGACAAAGAGATTATGCTAGATGCACAACTACACGGATTCTTTTTCTTCTTATATAGCTAAAAAGTTCGTTGCGCGCTTTGTTTATACCGATTGGAGGATTTGTTTATGGATCATACTCCTATACATTACTATTTATGACAAATATTTTGATTTTCTACAAATGACATCCCAACGAAACACTTCATGTATATGCGCTATACACGCTGAGATTGTTGGATTCATTAACTTCTCAAATTACAAGTGACATCCCAACGAAACGCTTTATGTATATGCGCTATGTATATCGCTGAGAACTTCTATGTATGTAGCTGAGAAGTTCGTTGTTCGCTTTGTTTATCACAATTATATCGATTCGATCATTGTAGAAGTACGAGACAGCGTATATTTTGCATTTTTCATTGCGTGATTTTACAGCGCGGGCATTGTAGGAGCCACCTCAACCAATCACAATCTTGCAACTCTTCGCAACGCTTAATTACACTTTGGCCAATCAGATGCATCGTTCTTCAAGCTGAAGGTCTACTGCACCTTTTTGATCTATCTAAACTTTTGTACCTGAACACCTTTGTCATCCTTCAGAAAAGGATAATCCTGTAGATTATTCCAGACATTTGTATTATGCAAGACAATTTCTTGTCTTCTCTTTGCATAAGTGTTATCCATTAGGTGTTTCATTAGGCTGTAATCTTCACTGCCTTTTTGATAAATTCCCTGGAATTTTCTTCTTTGCTGCTCCATAGTGCTTTCAGTTTCACCATCAGGAATGGCTGGCACATTGGAGCACTCTCTTTCCTCTTCTTTCGCCTTAGTTTTCCTTTAGGCCATCAATTTCTTCATCAAGCAATCTTTTTGTCTCTTGCTTTGGCAATCTTTTCTCGACACTGGCAAAGCCTTCATGAATCCCAGCAATAGGATATGTCCTCTCAAAAGGGCTGACGCTCGGACTACGGTCTTGTGGAGAATTAGGGTTGGTGTCATCTGATTGATAGTCATCCCTGCATTTTGACTTTGCTTGATTTTTAGTTCTGTTTCATCACTATTATTATTATTATTATTTTGTAGCAACTCTTTCGCAAACCTGGATTTCAGAAAACCTAGATTCAATAGTCAACCAATATATCCGTAAATGGCTTGAAATACCTATTTCTGGAACATTGAGTAATGTGCATTTAACAACCAACAAATTTCGTCTTAACATCATTCCACCATCAACAAAATTTATACAGTGTCAAACAACGATTCGAGCAGCATTAAAAGCATCACCTAATGAATCAATAAAGCACCTCTGGAAAATGACGAATAACCACACTAACATACAATATGAACAATACAGCTCGACAAAGGAAGTAATCAAATCATTTCATGAAAATCATGAACACAAACTACGAACTCAATTAATCTGTCAAGGATCATTCTTCTCCAGTATCTCGAAATTCTCTTTATATAGGACGATTACAAGATTACAAGATTGATATAGGACGGTAATTGTCCTTTCGAGATTTATCGCCTCCTTTAAACAATGCCGAAACCCTTGCTGATTTCCATATCTTAGGGAAAATCCCATCTGAGAACGATTTATTTATCAACTCTGTAAAGACTAGAGAGATAACATCGGAGGCAACCTTTAATAAGCGGGCGCTCAGCTTCTCCAAACCAACGGCTTTATTCATTTTTATTGATTTTAAGGCGTCCCTAACAAAATCGTCGGAGACATTATTCAGATTAAAATTAATGGACGGTGAGCAAACAACAGAATTCACACGGGTCATACGACCAAAGGCCTTTGATAGTGTTTTACCAATAGACACAAAGATATCATTCATAATTTTTGCAACAGATTGTTCGTCAGTGTGCAATCTTTCTTCAACAAAAACAGAAAATACAGCTGACCCTTTATTACTTGGAAGTATTTTTTTGATTACTCGCCACATTCTGCTGCCATCTTCCTTCGCGTCTTCGATCAGCTGACAGTAATATTTTAATTTCAGGTTCTTTTCTTCACGGTTGGAAAGGTTTTGCAACTTTTTGTACATATTCCAATGATACCTACTATTCGAACAGCGGGCTATTTAATGGTGATAGTCTCGATCACGCTTTATTTCTGTAAGTTTAGGTGTGTGCCGAGCTCTTCTCATCTTCATCTCTGGTCAGATCGAAAGCAATGGCCGAGTTCTCTTCTCTTGCTGCATGTTGTAACATTATTGACATCAGTATTAACAACAATGACGACAGAGCCAATTATCAGGTAAATTAATAGATATGCTGTATAAAGTTTTCGGAAGATGGAAAATTATTGACGGACCCATTGGCATTGTATTAAAAGAATTAACTTGAACGATGATCAAGAAGTAACTTGAACGAGAGAGTTGCCAGCCTTAGGATAATCATATACATAAGACAGTACGCGGTGCCCGCATTGACCGCGCTGCCTGTAGTTTTTCCTTGACAACTTGGTGAGCGTCGCCTAGTAACATTATTAGATGACGTCACAAACATTGCTTTCAAACTACAAAACTTAACGAACAAACTTTCGCAATTCCACGCTCAACTGGAAATCGCAGTATCAATCTCCCTCACTTTCTTTTTGCTCGAATGCTCTTGCTTTATGAAATCATAGATGACACTTGCTTTCTCTTCAATGCCACGATCCAAATTAACCAGGAGATTGAATCCCATAAGCTATTTTAAATCTCATGTTATTATAATTAATTATTCATGTCTTTAGAAATTTATTTTTTTCATATATTAGCTTAGCGGGACAGAACGTCAGGCTGGCTACGCCACTGAACCAAGCGAATTAGCTATCGCGCAATCATCCACGTACAAAAGGAGGGCAATAGATCTTCCATTTGAAAGAAGACATGCCCACGACAGAGTTACCGATCGTGGAAATCTCGCATAATACAATCTCTACTGGGTTGATGTGCTTTTCAGTAACTCATTCAAAGGGGTGTACTGGAATGTCGCATTTCTAGCTACCTGGTAAACATGATTAGTGCCCGGGTTGTGAAATTTCTCAATTGACATTGTCGAACACAGTTTGGCATTTCTTTATCTAATTTTTTGAGCTTGTAAAAGTAGAAATGTGGAAATACTTCTGAATAAAAGGCTAATATTATATTTTTAACGTCGCCATGTTGTTTTGTGTTGTTCTGCTAATATATTACGCCATTAGTTACCAGGAACCATAGTGCGTCGCTAGACGGGGAGTGACATGTCAGGTTTGATACAAACTTAAGAACAAATCAGGTAAAATATTACATATAACTCACGTCGAAAGATTGTATCATTTTCTCCTCATCTTTGTCAAAATATGCGAGATGTAGAAGGCAGATACCACGTGCAGTCGTTCTAGCAGCTTTAGGCTATCGGAATTCCACAGCATTCTTGATCAGTTTCTCTGAATCTTTAACTTTCTTTCTGGACACCTGCTTTATATAATCCTAAATCTTTAGCCTTTCGTTCAATAGTTTCCATCCATCACAAATAATTCTCACCATTTCTCTGTGGTCGCTTGGTTTTGAACGAACCTTTGCTTACATGCTTACATTCTTTCTACCCGCCAGGGTCGAATGCCTTTTTACATCCATCACAAATAATTCTCACCATTTCTCTGTGGTCGCTTGGTTTTGAACGAACCTTTGCTTACATGCTAGAAGTAATGTCTCTGGCATTTTAGACCATGCAATTTAGAAATCTCGAACCCTGTGTTTTCCATGAATATTGGAGTGTTCTTATTAACCAGAGTTGAAGGACTATCTACCTCCCTAGAGCTTGATGAAGTACTGGACCCTTAGGTAATTTACTGTAACATTACAAGACAAAATCGACACATGTGATCCACAAATCTTTCTCAACTCCTAAACATCATCTTTGAGTGCTGCATGTTAAGACACCCTTACATCTAAGCGCTGTATTTCTTTAATAACCCCGCTCGGATCTTTCTTCACATATAGAAAAGACACTTTCGAAAGCCGTTGTGTTTACACGATCCTATGTCGTCACACTTGATGTCGTCAGGGTGCTCCAAATAATTCGTGGTGAATTCAGGAAAGAAACGTTGTGGGAGATGTTAATAGGCTGAGATGCGGATGTTTCATCCAGTTTATATTCATTTATACTATACCAACAAGTTCCTGACTTGAATAGACTGTTAAAAAAAATTCTGTTGTCTTACAGTAAAGAATACTGGCAGCTTGAACGCCAGAGAAAGTACTGTAAATTAACGGAAACTGTTAAATTAAAAATCACTGTAATTTTACAGTAAATCTACTGTTTATTTTAACAGAAAAAGACTGGGTTTTGAGGTGAAACTGTTTTTTACAGTTTTTTGTAATTTTACCGGCAACCCTGCAGCGAAATACAGGCAATCGTGCTGCGAAAATAGCATGTACATAGCAAACTGCAGAAATATGTGTGTGCAGTTTTATGAAATTTCGTTTCTGAAAAAGGAAATCTGATCAATTTTCTCCAATAAACGTTGGTGAAGGTTTTCTAAAACATATAGATTTCGTTTCTGAATGACCCACATTTCACACAACTACCTATACCCTAGAGTTAAGCAAAAGAGGGCAATAAAGGCTGTTTTCGAGTGTTGAAAAAATTACAAATGACTATAAATAACAGATAATCAACCAATCAGCCAACAATGTCTAACTTTTACAGTAACGTTGTGCGCAATATTGTGTGTAAAATACAATATCATGGATATTCAGAGTGGTGGAGCAATATTGGGAAATCTAGCTGAGGACACATCATACAACAAAATAAGCCATGATTGATTTAAAACAAGCAACACCACAAATATACGGTTTATTGGGCCGTTAAACAAACGTGAGTTTTTACTTTTACATACGTTTTAACTATATATATTAATTGAGATCAACTAGTAGAGTAGCAGGGAGCAAATGTCTGTCCATGTGAACTCATGGTGAACTCATGACTGCAGAGTTTGAGAAAAGTTGTCGCAAATACACGTACTCCTACAATTACATATTAAAGCTCTGACACCAAAAATTTTTATTGATTATATCAGTTCAGTATAGGCTAATAAAACGAAAAGATTAGATATTCATGCTTCCAAGTTTCAAAATTGACAACATTTCTTTTGTTTAGCTAGGACTTCATTACGTGACATATTCTCCCCAACGAAGTGTGAGGAAACTGAGAATTTTACTCTATACTTTAAGCCACAACTTTGGAATGGACAGGTTATTTCATTTCCCTCCATTATGTGACTTTTCAAATGTTAAAGTAACTCAAATACGTTATCAACTTGCTTAGCACAAAAATGGAATGAGACACTGCATGCTGACATTCTCGCCTAAATTCATTAAAGTCTTACTCATGCTCGAGTGATCCCGAGTCACATGAAAATTGAACGCTATATGCCTAACATACGAACGTAAAGAAGCTGTCCTGTGTTGACACGATTTACATGAATGCATATTGGCTATTGAGTTATATAACCAAATTAATAAACATTGTTTGTTTTTTTATTTAAACATATTTAAATTCTCAACATTTTCTCCAAGAGCTAGGCTCATCGAGGGAGATCATGTTGAATTATTTAGAACTAAGGAGTACATCGTGTTTAAATAAAAGATACACAAATATAGGATGATTAATAAAGAGAAAGAATATAGTTAGCTCTGAGAAGAGATTTCAAAATCTAGAGATAAATTATTGCATATTAATATTCAATTAAACTGGTGAATCTCTTGGTTTGAAGGATATACAGTTGAACATTCCGCATCAAAATTTGATTTTCTTCATAACCAAGCGTTTCTGAACCAAATAGTAATGTTTCAACTATCTGATCCTCCGATAAACTTAACCAGGTGGCGTGGAGCAACTGTGCAGACGAGGAAAGTAAGCATTGTCGCTGAGCAGCATATCGAGGACAGTGCAGAAAGAAATGTTTAATTGATTCAACTATTCCCCATCTACATTTACAATATGGAGAAATTGCATAATTAATACTATAAAAATAGGAATTCAACGCACAGTGACCTAGACGAAGTCTGCTATGTAATATTGAACTGAATCGATTTAACGAGGTATTATAGAGAGTGTTATATTGCATTCCATGAAATGTATTACGTAGTTTACTTTTGAATAGTGATAATGGTTCCACATTGCACACGTTTTTATCAAGCCCGTTCCAGGCTGCAGTTGCTGACGGGAAAAAAGATTTTTTAAAATATTCGGTACTAGTAGGAATATAAGTAAAATTTTCATTAGATCTAAGATGATAATCAGATCTCTGATGGACTTATGGAGGTAAAAGATCGCGAAGGTAGGGTGGAGTGAGGCAGTTTATTATTTTATAAAGCAACGATAATTTATGTAAAAATCTTCTAGTTTTTAGATCTTCCCAACATAATTCGTTCAATAATCGTACCCTATTTGTTCCTTTCATTGCTCCTGTAACTATACGAGCCGATTCGTTCTGTATTCCTTCTAAAAGATTTGCTTCGCTTTCAGTACATCCGTCCCAAATAACGTCAGCATATTCCATCAGAGGTCTAATAAGACTTTTATATAATGATATAAGGGTTGATCTATGAAGCTTATATTTTACACTTTTTAAGAGATTTATCATCTTGCTAGCTTTTTTGTGTATACTTTGAATATGGTAATTCCATGTAAAATTTGACGTAAATTTCAGCCCTAGATGAGTATGAGAATTAACTTCTCGTAAACTTCCCATTTAAATATAGTGTGGGATGTACTTGTCCATAAAGTTTTTTTGAAAATGTAATACTTTCACATTTAGAAGGATTCATCTCCATTAGCCACTGTTTACACCACTGGCTAATTTTATTAAGATCCGAATTTAATTTTAAGGAAGAACTTATTGGGTCGTCAGTTATGTCAAATAGAGATGTGTCGTCAGCGTAAAGAAAACAGTTGGATACAATATTATTATTATTATTATTATTATTATACATAAAACATACTCCCAATAGGGCTTTTCAGTATGTACTAACAAGGCTAAAAATAGGTATATTTCTATCTACAATTACGTTAT